AAAGGATTCATAGTGACCCTTTGAACAAAAAACCTGAACACTTGATCAATATGGATAGGATATCAGTGTCAAGGAAACAAAAATCCTTATTGCTGGACCGATAAGCAGCATCATGATAGTTGTTAGATGCTGTTGAGACAAGTACAACTTACAGCAACCCTATAAACATCAGAGCTGAACTCTTAAAGCTATCCTGTACCAACCTCACAATCTCTCACACACAAGCCCATTGCTGCAGTCATTGTCTTAGTCCACTTTGTTGAGGGTCTTCCCCTCCTGCCACTTTTCCAAGCATGTCTTTCTCAGAGCAATAGCCTCTCCTAGCACCATTCCCAAATATACAAGACAACACTTCACTGTTCTTGCCTCCAGGGAGCACTCTGGCTACATCTTTTCCAAGACAAATCTCTCTGTTCTTTTGGCAGACCTTGGGACATTTAGTAGTCTCCAACACCATGGGTTAAAAAAATAACACCACCACAGAAAACCAAACAGACCAGAAAACAACAAAACAACCTAAGTCATCTTTAGTCATTGTCTAGTTCTGAAAACCCTATGACAGTGGAAGAACATCAGGATAAATGGAGAAAGGATTGACGTTGTCAGAAATTTCATCTCACTTGCATCAATAATCAGCTTGGTACCAGAAGTCAGGAGGTCAGGATACCGATTGTTTTGGGAAAGTCTACAGTCAGGCAGCTTTCCAAATTACTGATGAGCAGTGATGTCACTTTGAGAACGGAGGTGTATCTGATACAAGCCTTGGTCTTTTCAGTCCCTTTCTATGTATGTGAGAGCTGGACAGTGAATAAGGATGACAGAAGAATTAATACCTTTTGAGTGATAGGTTGGAGAAGAGTGCTCAATATCCATTGACTGCCAAAAGAACAGATCGGTCTTGGTTAAAGTGCAGCAAGATTGTTCCTTGTTGGCAAAGGTGACAGCTTCATCTCACATACTTTAACCCTGTTGCAATAAAGTCTTTTCCTTGGAAAGGGATTTCATGCTTGGAAGGGTGGAGAGTCCATGAAAGAGAGGAAAACCTTTAAGAAGATAGATAGATGGATTTATACCATAACTGCAGCATTTGGTGCAAGTGTGTCAGATTGTGAGGATGGCACAGGGTAGGACAGGCTTCAAATCTGTTGTTCATAGTATTGCTTTGAATCATACTAGAGTCAGTGGCACAAATAGTAAATCTGGTAGAATTCCTTCCTTCAGTTGTTCCCAGTCATGATTATAGATGAGCTGTTCAAAATATCTCCGATATGAAAGATCAAAAATAAGGTTAAATTACTGAATTTATCCAAATATATATTCATCCTATTTAATTCTGAGGTACTGTGACAGAAGAGTCTTTGCCTTTGTTTTTTGGTTCGGTTGGTTTGTTTTTGTTTTTATTTTTTTTTAATTTATTATTAATTTTCATGAGCATTTACAAAGACTTTGGATTTCCATGCATTCACTGTTGCACTTTTCTCCCCTCCCACCCTCCCCCCTAGTACACTACCCTCTTAAAAAGATAAAAATTCTTTAACAGTTTTACAGTCCCTCCCCCCAGGTCCACTCCACTATGTAGCCTTCGCTCTGGACTCTTGTCATGACATAAATACCTAATAACATATCCCTTTTAAACAGTTTTCTCTCTCATCTGTTTCAATGCCCCATACATTATTGAACCCATCTTTCTCAGTCTCCCCCCATCCCCGAGGTCAGTCCTGTTTTACAACAGTGGCACCGAATAAGCAAAGCACTCCTTAAAAATAAAAGAAAGGTAGGAGGTATCTCACTCCTGATTTCAAATCCTACTATGCTGTTGTGGTGGTTAAGACAGCATGGTACTGGTACAATGACAGACACATAGATCAATGGAATAGAATTGAGAACCCGGAAATCAGCCCATCTGCGTATGGTCAACTGATTTTTGACAAGGAGATGAAATCAGTTAAGTGGGGAAATGACAGCCACAGCCTTTTTAACAAATGGTGTTGGCAAAAATGGAAAAGTATCTCCAAAAGACTCAAGCAAGATCCATACCTCACTCCATATACAAAAACCAACTCAAGGTGGATCATGGACCTAGGGCTAAAACCAAGGACTATAAGCTTCATTAAAGAAAAGCTTGGAAGAATGCTACAAGTCATAATCTACAGCATAAACAGTCTTCCAAGTATCCTGAAAAACCTACAACCAGGAGAAGATAAAATACATGAATGGGACCGTCTAAGAATGAAATCCTTATGCACATCCAAAAACTTCTCCAACAGGGTGAAAAAGGAAGCCACAGACTGAGAAAAAGTATTTAGTAATGACATGTCAGATAAGGGACTTATATCTAGAATTTATAATATACTTGAGCACCACAACAAGATAAATAATCCAATAGAAAAATGAGCACAGGATATGAACAGACACTTCACCAAAGACATTCAGATGGCTAACAAGCACGAGTCTTTGCCTTTGAATTGTAGTGTTGGATGAGTACTAAATTCTCCATAGGCTGCCAGAATAACAAGTAAGTCTGTCTTGGAGGAAGTGCAACCAGGGTGCTAATTAGAGACAAGGTTGGTGAAACTTCGCCTCACATAACATTTGGCATGTTGTCACAAGGGGCTATCATTCGAAAAAGAAAATCATACTAGGTAAGGGTGAAGGTCAGAGAAAGAGATGAAGACCCCTATAACAGTAGGCTCAAGCACATCAGAAATGAGGAGGATGGTGCAGAATAGGGCAAAGTTAGATCTGTTCAGAGAGTAGCTTTGAGTTCTAGTTCATTTGGTGACCTCTGACATGTCTTTTTAAGTTTTGGGAGAGTGTAAAATGTTCTTACAAAAATTGGACATTAAAAACAAAATTGGGCATAGGATTAGGTGACAGTAATTAATTTCATTGTTCTGTCTAGGCCCCCATTCTTTTTTTCTTTTATTATCCTTGCAATTGAAACCTTGGGCATGCTGGCTGCTCTTGAGTCAATTCTGACTTAATAGACAATATGTGTACAGGGTACAGTTCCACTCAGAAGCAGATTTCCATACTTGGCTTCCATTTTACCTCTGTGTATCAACATCAGTCTGCGAACTCTTGAAATAATAAATAGTTGGGTGCTTACATTTACAACACCCCACACACATATCCTGCTGATGGTACTCAACCAGGACTCATAGTAACCCTATGAACAGTGGATCTGAATCCTGCCCTACCCTGTGCTATCTTCATCATCATCTGATAATAACCTTTGAGGGGGGAAAAAAAGAATAAAATTTTTTTGTCTTTGTTCTAGTTTACTGATGGGTGTTATATGGAGTACTAGATAGCAGCTATAAGGCCAATTTTGTACAAAGATGAAGAGTGGAAGTTTCAGTTATCAAAATCTCTTAAGAAAGAATGGGTGAAAGAAAATTGATTCTGATCTATTCCTTTTTACTTTCTGGTCTTACTTCTATTCTTTTTTGTAGTGTATGGACAGTTTACCTCTCCAGTTCTGTGAATGGATGCTATTTCCTTATTGCGTGCAGTATGCTTCACATAATTAAAGCATAATTACTGATTCCCTAGAAGTATTTGCATGTAGAATAGATTTTTCATACATCTTTTTATACCATTCTTTTGTCCATTGTCTATCCTCTTAACTCCAGCTATTACTTTTTCTCTGTTTTTCCTAACTCCCAGATTTAGTTAGGTGTTTTTGTTGTTTTGGATGGATTTTTTTTCCTTTCTGCAAAACTCTAAGCATATTTTCTTTTATATGATTTTCTATTATTCATATTCTGGAGCTCTTTGAAGTAGTTCATATTTGTGTTTCTGTGTTTATCCTATAATTACTGGATTAATGAGTTTATGTCCCATGATAGATCTGTTCTGTTTTGTTAGACAAAATGACACTGTAATTAAATGAAAAATTTATGACAGATTTTTATTACACGTGTAGCAGCGTTATTTGAAAATATTTTTTATACCTTTTCATTTAGAGGTCTATATTGTGTACAAGATTTGGATGCATACAGGCTACTTACTGAAAAGTTGAAGTTTATCAGCTGCTCTAGGGAGAAAGATTTAGAATAACAATGGAGCATTGCTCAAATTGGTATCAGCTTAGGGCCCGTGGATTTATTCTGTATAAAATTAGTTTGTGATTATATGCCAAAAGTACCTTTCACTTGGTTTCAATTTGTATGCCCAGTTAAGAATTTAGAAACTAAGGAAAAGTTTTAGTAATTGTGGTTGAGACTTTATTATTCTTACTGAGATTATATTTTTTGGGGGTTTTTTTGGATTTTAATAGTAGGATTTCATTCATTCACTGGGGCACATTTTCTTCCTTTCCTCCCCCAATTCACTTTTACAATGCATATCTTGTTCCAGATTGTTTAGACTGGTTTTTTTTTTAAGAAAAATCATTTTGTTTTGTGCATTGTATTACATAAACTTGCTTAGCATAGTTAAAGAATTTGGAGAAGTAAAATAGTTTCCACATTATGAATAATACTTGTTAAATTTTATCTTTGCAGTAGAAATTTTACAGAGAATTTTTATGTCGTCCATTTCTAAAATAGGAAGCCAGGTTCCTCATAATTGTTTATAATGACAACCTATTGCTGATTCAGTTCAGATTCTTGGTGACAACATAGGAGTGAGTTCTTAGTACAGTCCCTCTAAATAGATTTTTAGGACTTTGTTTTGAGGCTCTTCTAGGTAGATTTTTAACCATCAATCTTTTAGTAACCAAATGCTTAGTTCTTTGTGATTACCCATGACCTCCATATAAAATTACATAATAAATTAGTCTAATTCAGATTGATAGTTTAGCAAAGCACAGTAGTAGTTTTCTGTAGGGAGAAGTAGATAAAAGACTACAAAAATGAAAGAAAAATCCTACTTGGCAGGAAAAAAAAAATAACAGTTGTGAGTAATGAAATGCCCTTGAAATTTTTAAAGGGTTATAATTAATATCAACTGTTCGCATTTTGTTCTCTTAATCTTTGGTTTTTTTAAATTTATAGTCTACATCCGCGTCTGCTTCATCATTTCCGTCTACATGGTATAGTGAATCTGAAATCACTCAGGGAGCACGCTCAAGATCTCAAAACCAACAACGGGATCATGATTCCAAAAGGCCTAAGCTTTCTTGTACAAACTGTACATCTACCTCAGCTGGGAGAAATGTTGGAAATGGTTTAAATGCAGTATCAGGTAAGAGATGTATCTTTGAGAAAGAATTTATATGATTTTTTTTACTAAAGACATTTACCCAATAAGTATCATAGTCTTGTGGTTTGGGATAAATACAGTATTGCTAGACACAGTGGATCAGATCTAACAGAAGTTAATTCAGTAAGTTTGCTTTTTGTTTTTGTTTTTTGGGGTGTTTGGGTTTTTTCCGCCTGTTTATGTTGTACATGTTCTACTCAGAATGACTAGATTTTAATTAATTTTAACAGATTACCTATGTGGTATTAAATTAGTCTTTTAAAAAAATTAAAACTATTTAGTATGATTGTTATAGGAGATAAATTTCTTAATTTTTACTGGTAATAAGAGGTGGAATATATGGTAAACCTGTCTTAATTATAAATTACCAGTATTGTGATGTATATTAACTTCTTTTCAGAAAATCCAAGCATGTCTTTAATATTTTCTCATATTTACATTGTTATGGGCAGATGTTTTGGAGCATGATGAAGATGTTTGCATCATGGGTAGAGGAAAATTTTAGTGTTAAGCAGAGAAGAATGGTTGTTTTTTTTTTTTTTTAAGAATGGTTTTAATAGGTAATAGTATTATGGGATTAGCTCATTAGTGAATGATTTTTATGTTTTATAGCATTTTCATTAAAAATGGAAACTTCCATAGTAAATTGTAAAAGCCTTCTTCTGTCTTACTGGAGATTTTTTAAAATTAGAAACCAGGAGCGCTGTCTGAATTAAAACTTATTCAACTATTTTAAGATTCTTCCTGGAGACACAGTCAAGTTCCCAGATCATCTTCAATGGTACTTGGCTCTTTCGGAACTGACTTACTTCGAGAGAGAAGAGATTTGGAGAGGAGATCAGATTCTTCTATTAGTAATCTTATGGATTATAGTCACAGAAGTAGTGATTTTGCAACTTCATCATGTATGTATGAATTATATTTTTATCCTCTACATCTAATTTCACATTATCTTGTATATGTGTGTGTATATGTTATTAACCGAACAAAGGAATATATGAAGTAAATCTTTTCCAAGGTTTCAGAATAGTTTAATATGTTTCCTAGTGTTTAAATTAGATAACTTTTAGAGTCTGGTTGATTTTTAATTTTTTCAATGCCTCATTCCTTCAGAAATTACAGATTTCATGAATATACTAAGAAATTCTTGAAATCAAATCAGAACCTACCCCTGTTAACTCCATTCCAATTCATATTCTATAGAACAGAGTAAATCTGCCCCGAAGGGTCTAAGACTTAGATCTTTGCAGAAATAAAACTATCAATGTCTTTCTCCCTTCTAAAGAACATATGGTGAATTCTAGATTAGAAGCAGAGCACATAACCACTGTGCTGTCAGGCCTCCTGATTCTTGAATACTCTAAATTTCTAAAATAACTAACTGATAAATATAGATGGATTGAAGTAATCATTTTAAGGCATAAATTACAATTACCTTAGTATAACTGTCTGTTTTAATCAAGTTTAAATTAAAGATAGCATATCATTTGTATTAGCATCTATCAATCATTGCTGTAGTGTCAGCTGATTAATGACTGGCCTTCCGTCAGGTTTTTAGAGGCTGTAAATCACACAGAAGAAGATTGCCCGTCTTTGGGTTATCAGCGCTGCTTTCTATACACTATACGAGAGCATCCTCCAAATAGCTCAAGGGTTTTGTTGGTGCTGGTTGATTTTTTTTCTTTTCGAAATAAATAACATGGAACAATAATCAACCCTACAAATTTACTAAAGAAAAGGGTTAAAATTTGCAAAAATGTGGAGTTTGGTTCAGTGAAAGGAAAAATATTTTTTTAAAGATTTGAATTGTTTATATAATTGAGGAAGACTGTTTTTTTAAGCTTTGATTTACATGGAGGAGCTTGGATAGCACATTTGTAGCATCTGGGTTTTTGTGGGAAAAGCATAAGAATCACTTTGGCCCATAGCAAGTTTGTCCTTTCATGAGACTGCGTGTGTACTGCAGCAGTAAAGATTTTATACTCTTTATGCTTATGTTTTTGTTGATTGCCTTTGACACAACTCATAGTGAACCTATGAACAAAAGGCCTGAAGCCCCTCTACAACTATTAACATTTATCAATGTTCATAGAGCTTCCAGAGGCATGTTGTTTAGGAAGTAGATGCCATATAGATAACCATTATTTATAAAGGAATCATGTAGTCTTTCATCTTTGTGAAGATTAGAACCAGTAGTAGTATACTTTTAAAATGTACATACCTGACCTTCATGTTAAAAAGCTCCAGGCCAGTACTTTAAAAGTATATCTGAAGAATAATCAGGAATAGGAACCACTGCTGTTAACATGAAAGTAAAAGATGGCAAGATTGGAGAAATACTTAGCTCTTAGCAAGCTTTGTCAGAAAGTGGGATAGAAGAACGGTTACATGAATAACTGTCTTGCTTATTGCAAAATAAGAACAGTCTCTACAGCATTATTTTTCTATAATGTTTTTCCTTTAAATCGGTGTAAATAATTTACATTGTATTATTTGACCCATTTTGTATTTCTTAAGAAACTTTAGTTATACCATATTGATAGCTTCCAGCCATCAACAGTAGTTGGAACCGACCAACACCTCCTGTCTGACTCTCTGTTAGGGATTTACAGCCTTAGAAACCATTTGGAACATTTACAAAAATTGTAAGGTTGCTATGAGTTACAATAGATTCAGTATCAGTGAATTTGTATTTGGGGAGTTACATTTCTTGTCAGTTTATATATTCTTCTACCATGTAAATTTCTGATTAACCCCCTTTTAGCTCTATAAAGTTGGCATTTGATGTTCAGTATTTGTTATCTTATTTCTAAAGTAACAGTTTCCTTCTATACAATTTCTAATGATAATTTTACATAAATAGTTCTAGATTTTTAATAGAAGTAGAATTGTTTTTAATTTTCCTGTAACAATAATTAAGCTTTGTGATTATAATAGAAGTACTGAGTTAAGGTCAGTATTTCTTTTTTGGGAGTAATCAGTAGTTAATTTAAGTTTAATAAAACTCAGATTATTTCATGTAATTAGTTATCTTTCCTTCCTTTCAAAAATAGATGTTCAAGACAGAGTTCCTTCATATTCACAGGGAGCAAGACCAAAAGAGAACTCTATAAGCACTTTACAATTGAATACATCATCCACAAACCACCATTTGCCTTCTGAACATCAATCCGTACCATGTCCTAGGGATTCCAGCAGAAATTCTTTAAGAGCAAACTTTTCTCAAAGAGAACTGGAATCTCCTCGAAGCAATGCACAGCCCGGATTTTCCTATCTTTCACACAGAGATGAAGCTCCAGCCATAAGCAGCTCGGAAAGGGTGGCTTCATCTCAAAGATCATTTCAAGAATCTGCTGACAATGAAGGAAGGCGGACAACCAGAAGGTTGCTGTCACGTATAGCTTCTAGTATGTCATCTACTTTTTTTTCACGTAGATCTAATCAGGATTCCTTGAACACAAGATCACTGAGTTCGGAAAACTGTATTTCTCCTAGAGTGTTGACACCCTTACAGTCTCGTAGTAATGCATCATCAACTTCTGAAGTTACAGATAATAGAGCATCTGAAACGTCTCAGGGATTTCGATTTTTAAGGCGAAGATGGGGCTTGTCATCTCTTGGCCAAAATCACAACTCTGAGCCAGATTCAGAAAATTTTAACCAAGATTCTGAAGGTAGAAATACAGGACCGTGGTTATCTTCATCACTTAGGAATAGATGCACACCTTTGTTTTCTAGAAGACGGCGAGAAGGAAGAGATGAATCTTCAAGGATATCTACCTCTGATATGCCCTCTAGATCTCATGTTTTTAGAAGAGAAGCTAATGAAGTAGTTCACCTTGAAGCACAGAATGATTCCCTTGGGGCTGCATCCAACAGACCACAAGTATCTGCAACATCAACCAGTGCTGCCACGTCAGATTCAACTCCCAGTGGGAGAAACACAGGAATATCTGGGATTTTTCCTGGCTCCTTATTTCGATTTGCAGTGCCCCCATCACTTGGAAGTCATTTGACTGACAATGTCATGATCACTGTAGATATTATTCCTTCAGGTTGGAATTCATCTGATGGAAAAAATGATAAAGCTAAAAATGCATCATCAAGAGATCCAGAAAAACTGCAGAAAATAAAGGAGAGGTAAATTTGAATACCTGTCTTAAGCTTTTATTACAAGAACAAATTGGAGAAAGAAGTTTGTTATTAAAATGCCTTTTCATGACTTTAGTATCAAAATAGTCTTTTCTGAAAATGTATATTCAGTAAGATTTTATGTTCTCTTCCGTAGATAAATGGACGAGAATTGAGCAAGTTAGGCATTAATGTAGTGGATGGCACCAAGAACTAATTTAAAGGTGGTTTTCATCCAGATTGGACTTAAACATATACACACAGAGAGATACAAGTCAAAAATTATTCCCCCTTGATAGACCACTAGTAGAAGGCACTGATAAAATGATTCATAGATACTGAAGACATCTAATGTCTTACTCTTTAGAGAGATATAAAATCTTTTTTGCTGTATAGTGAAATCAGTTGCAGAAATGAGTATGTCTATTTTCAAAGCCAAGTGTATACTTAACATTCTTTGTAATAGAATTTTTTGCCAACTAATAGCTTAAATCCAAGAGCTGAGAAGTTTATATAAAGTGAAATTCTTTTTAGAATTTATAATTCCAAAGACAAGTGATAAAAAGTGAAAAATTTAAAAGACCAGAGGCTTGGACCCCAACGTAATCATTTATTTTATAATCTTCAGAGGCTTAATTACTTAGTTTTTCCATCTTTTAAATTGTTTGAATCTTAAAGTGAGATGTTGTAATCTATGTGTATTGTAGGAAGAAAAGCTTTGCTTGAGATTTTTGTGTGTTTCTTTCTGACAGTTCCCAAAAGCTTTTGTGTAATACAATTTTAAAATCATATTGGATCTTGGTGTTATTTCGAGTTTTTGTGCTTTAACTAGAAATATATTCAGTTATCTAGTGATTAAGGGGTCTTTTCATGCTTTCTGAAATGTTAGAAATTGGCTTGATATATTCTTATTGTTCTTATGTAGGCTAGAATATACCATGTGATATACTGCTTTTAAGACTTCATGGTGGTTGTTCTTTTGGGTAAAGAAAATGCACTTTACTTTTGTAGTGTTATCTTCAGCACCAGCTGGTTATGGCATGTTCCTCTGATTGCATGCATGTCTGCTGAGGAGTTAATTTAGGATAATTTGAGTACAGTAATATGAACAGAAGGCAAAGCACTGGTTTAGTGATCTCCCAAGAGAAATAGATTAAGTTGGCACTCCTTATCTATCTCTTAGGGTCTCCAGGTGGACACAGTAGTCATACCTAACCACAGACCTCCTTAGCGATGCCATGGAGGAAGGACCTTGGAAAAGATTATAGCCCAGAGAATACTCTGAAATAGTTCTTTTCTGTAAAATACAGGGTTGCTATCAGTCAGAATCAACTATGGCAACAAGTTATTTTGAGTTTTTACATTGTCTGGTTTTAAAAACAGCACTTTTTGAAAAGTATTTCTACCCGAAGTGTTTGAGTCTTATACGTTAGCTGTTTTATGATACTCTACAGTTAAATGATAGTGTGAAATAATTTGATTTTCCAAGTAAAAAAAGATTATGAAATGAAATAAGTTAAATTTAAAGACAAAAATAAATAGCATGTTTTCAGCCTTGAAAAATGGTTGAGATTGTCTCAAGCAAGGGCATTAAAATAGTTAAATACACTGAAACAGATGTGCATATCTATTGCTAAATTTACTTGGAGCACCCATATTACAGATTTTGTGTTGATATTGAATATTACTCATTGGTTATTTATCTCATGACAACGGTAAATTTATGGTATAGGGACTTCGGAGGAAAATTACTTACTGCAGGCAATCCTCAGAATATGAATGAGATTTATTACTAAGTACATTTTTAAGTTGAGTTAGTAGCTACATCAAAATAAATGCCAATATTTCTTATTTAACCTACCTTAAGTATAAGCCCAAGTGGTAGAGTGCATTATTTATTACACTACTAACTGAAAGGTTGGCAGTTTGAATTCAACCAGCCAGTACTTGGGAAAATGATGAACGGTCTCCTCCCATAAAGGTTTCCAATCTTGGAAACCTGATGGAGGAGTCACTCTAGGTTTCAGATTGACTTGATAGTGGTAAATTGTTGCTGGGTTTTTTGGTGTGTTTGTTTGTTAGGCTTAAAGCTTGAAAAATATTTAAAAGTGTACATGCAGTAAATGTAGGTGATTGTAATGTAGAAGTTGTTGAAAGTAAGAGTTGGTTAAATCTGGTTGATTCCATTTCAGCATGCAGGTTGACTTTAATTCTGACCTTTTTATTCCAAACACAATATATATGACTATTTGCATTTAAATTAAGCAGTACATGATCGCCTTTTACACAATGCCCATGTGTTAATTGAAATTACTTCATGATGTAAAAGCTTACCTATTTTTTAAAAAAAAAGTGATAAAATTACTGAGAGTAAGAGGGAAGGAAAGACTGAAAACCCTGTGTAGTTTTTGAAGTATAATTCAAAGTCTGGAAGTTTGAGTCCTTAACATCCTAAAGTCAAGTCATATTGTCTTAAATATTTTTTAGGGAGAAGTTTCCAGTAATATGTAATAGCACATTATCCTGATACTTTTGGACTTAATTTTGTCTAGCATACTGTAGAATTCATTAGACCTATTTGTAAAGTGATTATAAAAGAGACCTGATGGCACAGTAGTTAATCAGATGGCTGCTTATCAGTAAATTGACAGTTCAGACCCACCAATTACTTCATAGGAGAAGATTGTTGACAGTGTGTTCTCACAGATATTTACAGCCTTGGAAACCATGTGGGGCAGCTTTACTCTATCTTACAGGGTTGCTTTGAGTCAGAATTTACTCAACAGCAGTGGATCTGGTTGATTTTTGAAAATTAATATCAGAAATATTTATTATAATTTTAATTCTTAATGCAATAATTTTCATAGTGATTGTTGCTGCTGCTCTTTTATGTGTTGTTCTTTTTTCTAGCTATTAGGAATGTGAGTTGGAAAAAGAAAATAGGATTGTATATGACTATAAATTATCAACAAGGGCAAGTTATGATAGTTCTTTTTGAGAACTGTCCCTTCTTTTCCAGCCTCCTTCTAGAAGACTCTGAAGAAGAAGAAGGTGATTTATGTAGAATTTGTCAGATGGCAGCTGCTTCATCATCTAACTTGCTGATAGAGCCATGCAAATGCACAGGAAGTTTACAGTATGTCCACCAAGAGTGTATGAAAAAGTGGTTACAAGCCAAAATTAACTCTGGTAAGATTTACCTGTTTTCAGAATTTTCCCAAGAAATTATTTTGTACATATTAACAAATAAGTTTATGATTATTAGTGATTGGTTGTTGAAGTCTCAGAACATGGTTTACTATAAAATTATATGTGTTTCTTACATTTCAGTTATTTCTTTTTCATATACAAAAGGTTTAACTTTTATGTGATAGTGACCTTAATCCTTTTGAGTCATTAAAAAACGTACATATTTAACTGTCTTTATTGGCTGAGTGACCTTTAGAAAGATTGTCTCCATTGCTGTTGGTAAGGGTTCATTTGTTCCTTTTGTGACAAGCTAAATGTGATAATTTGCTGTTTTGGCAGTTCTGTGTAGAATGGATTGTAGGAGCACAGGAGTGAAAACAGAACAGTCAGGAGGAGTCTGTTAGAAGAGGCGATGATTACTAGGACATTGTGGCAGACGAAGAGGAAATGAAGTAAAAAGGATGAATTGTATTTCTCTTTTAAAGAGTAAGATTTGTTGATACAAATTAGATAGAACAATACTTTTTACTAGGTGTGAATGGTAATACTATTTATTAAAAATAGAACTTGCTTATGATAGAGAATTAATCTATTTCTGTTTAACTACATATGTGATAACCATCCAGAAACACCAAGCAGTTAGCTAGACAAGCCTAATGTTTAGAACCTATTAGTTATGGCAATCTTGGGCATATAAATATTATTGGAAGCTTTGGCATTAAATAGGATCTCCTAGGGAGCAAGAAGATACCAAAAGAAATGTTTTGTGAGGAGAGATTTGAGGGGCAGCCTGCTATCAGAATTTATATGGAATTGATGACTCAAAACAGACTTTGGTGGCAGTGGGTTGGGTTTGGCTTGGTTTTGTGTACCTAGGAATTAAACAATTAAAAGAAAATTTTTCAAAGAGGGAGTGATAAACTCTGAAGAACTACAGACAGGTCAAGTAACACAGAAAATTTGAATTTCAAGTATGGAATCCTTAGTGGCCTCAATAAAGTGAGATCATAGGCCAGATTAGGCTGGATTAAGGAGATTAGGGAGACAATACAGACCCCTCTTTCAACATACTTTATTTTATAAGGAGATTAGAGAAATGCAGCAGGAATTATATAATTTTATATGGTCACACACAAAAGGTGTTTATTTTTTATGGTTAGGGAATTAGGGCATGTTTTTGGTTTGTTTTTTTTTTTTGTTGGGGTTTTTTTTTGAGATCCATGAGAGAGGGAGGAAATGATGAGACAAAAAGATGGGATCCAAAGCCCAAATTGCATAATTGGCCTTTAATATAGATAAGGGATATAGTCACTTTTTGCTTTGGTGGGAAAATGCTTGAGTTTCTAATTAACTACTTGCTTGCTTGTTTGTTTTTAGTGAGGTGTAAGATAAAGTCTTGAGCTGACTAGAAGACTAGTAGTTTTGGTGTGTGGTGAAAATAACATTACTAAGGGATTATAGTAAGATTTAAGGATTTGACTTGAAACACATACTATTTTTTATTTCCTTTTTGGTAAACATTTTTCAGATGTGTGAAAACAGACATTAAGAGATCAGCTGAGTGGGACTTTTGCCAGGCAATTATTGTGAAAGGAGTTAAAAGTTATCTGCAAGAGCATAAATATGATGATCTTTGGAATTAAATCAGGAGGGGACTAAGGAGTAAAAAATTCTGGGATCAGCATCTTTGAGTTTGATTAGAATTGCAGAGAATTGACAGTAGGTAAGCTGCAACAAGAAATGGCTGGTGTAAGGAGGTGAGAATGCTTGAAGTATGGTTTAGAAATGTACATTATAATGACTGCTTAAGAGGTGTGCCTATACACTGGATGGCTGAGGTAGGAAGGATAATAATAGATGTTGAGGAAATAGGAATCTAGAGCAAATGAAGTAAGTGAATGTTGAAATAGATGCTAAAGTTGCTAATGAATGAGGGAGGATTTGAAAACAGCTATCAATAGAGGAAAGGTATCTAATCCTACCTTTGGGTCCTGAAGTACAAGAGCCATGAGAATTTTTTTTTTGAAGGCCAAAAGAAAAGATGATGATACAGATTTGCTAATGGTAGCCCATGGGTGTTAGAGAACATAATAGAAATGACTGAGTGGAAGGGATGGGAAATTTGATCTAATTAATAAATGTGTATATAATTGTGTGGGGAGTGAAGGCCTGATAATGACAGTTTGGTGGCATCGATAAATACATTACTGAAGTATAAGAATAATTATTAGAATAAGGTAAGTGATAAACTTTTAAAGCTGAAGAGTATGGATCTACTGGGAGAGGGAGTAGGTTTTCTCCTACAGATCACCTAATATCATACAATATGTCAAGGAGTGAGCAAAGGCCTCCTTTTTAAAAGGCAGAAGATTGTCTGTTCCAAGTTGTCCTGAGCTCAAATTTCTGGGATAGACCATCTCACCTGTCCTTATGGCCTTTTCTCTTGCTTTTATGGTGATATGGCAACTTCTTGAATTTTTTTTTGTTATCTAAACTGCCTTCTGACTTTATTAAGAATAAAGGAGAGATGCTTAACATGGTCCTTGACACAAATACTGTTGCCAAAGAAGAAGAACTAACATCACACCTTCTGGATGGCTTGTGTTGGATTAGGCAGGGAGATAGAAATTACTTAAAAATGTTGGGTAAGTTTAAAAAAACAAAAAAATAAAAGCCCACAACTAAACAAAACACCCAGATTCTGAATATTTGTTCTGAATAACTATAGAACATTACCTAGATGATTTAACATTGGTTCTCAGCCTTTGCTACTGATAGCCACCATTCATCTTCTGGTGGTTTTTAAAATATAAATGCCTCAGATACACTCCTAAAGATTTTGGGTAGATCTAGGATTGCACCTTAGTTTCATCATAAATTAAATTAACTCATAGGATTGTTGGTGTTACACTTACCTCGTACGATTGTTGCAGAGGTCAAGTGAGATAATTATTTCTTACAGTACAAAGTATGTGGTAAGTAGTAGCCAGTTAAATGGGAATTATTTTTATGATGTGAATATATAATCATTTTTCTATATGGTCAGATGAAAGTACAGATGAAGCCTTCCCTCATACCCTTCCGGTAGACTATTCATCCTGTAGAGACTTATTTAAATCTTTATCAAGCAACTTACTATAAATGAATTTCTGAATTCCAGAGGAGGATGTGGAAAGATTAGTAAGACCAGTGTAGTATAAGTTTAGGCAAATCAGATCTCTGTTGAATTAGGTGAAGTTTTGGATTAAGCTGTGTAGGATTAAATATATTGCTCTCAAATGTGTATAAGTGACTTCTGGTAATTCATTTATCCCATAGATCAGAAAAATGAAACACAAAGATGTCAGGCCATCCTTCATATTTTGTCATCATATTTATCCTATATCTAGATCAGAAATTAATAGTTTTCTAATAAGAATAATAAAGTCTTCTCAATTTTTTAACACCCCTTATTTTGTCTATTATAAAATGCTGGATTTCTATCAACATGCGGAATTTATTGTTCATTTAGAAAATGTAAAAAAAAAAAACCAAAATGTTCTATTTTATTTTCATTTCAACATGTTACTGCATTCTCAAAAAAAGTTCTAGGCATACACTCAAAATATAATGGAAATCTGTATTATTTTTTTACCACAAATTTTGATGTTGTTTTGTGCCATCAAGTCACCTGTGACTCACAGCGACCCTATGTAAAAAAGCTCTGAAGCCTGCCACATCCTGAGCCAATATCATTGACTCTTACGTGTACTCCCATTGTCCCAGTTACTGTTGTCAGTCCCTCACATCTGGGCTCTTCTCTCCTGCGCTGTCCCTGCACCCTTCAGAGCATGATGTCTTCCTCCAGGGACCAGTCCCTCCTGGCCACATTTCCAAAGTATGTGAGATGGAGCTTCAAAATCCTAGCCTTAAGGAGAATTTCACCCTCTCCAAGACTTCCTTGTTTTCTTGGTGGCCCATGTTTAGCCAAGATTAAGAATTTTTCAGGCTATAATTATATTTCAGTATAATCTATACAAAAACAACTTGAAAAAGGTTTTCTTTCTTGGGTGGACTCAAAAGATTTTTATTTTCTTTTTGCCTACCTTTTGATTAGCAGCCAATCACAAGTCATATATACCTTCCAAGCTCCTTACTGCTAATTAAATTGGAGGCAGAAGATAAGAAGTAACCAGGTGCTGACTGCACATGAAGCAGAAGACGCAATTTTGATCTAGCGGTTATGGGTCCTATTTTTACCTTCTATCCCCAAAGGAGATAGTCATGCCTTAGATCCCAAAAGATCTTGGGTATTTATAACTAAAGAACTCTATCATATTAAATATCTTCTGGCATCATACCAACCTATTTAAGGAGGAGGGAGCAGGTACAGATAACTGACCTTCTGTTACCTCTAATGTCAGCTTTCCTTTGGTTAATCATGATTCTCTAGGATAAAAAGAAACAAAGGTGTGAATAATGAATACCAAAGAGTAGGACTTGTCGTGCACATCAGACGTTACAGAGAGCTAATTTACGGTACCCCTGCTTCTTGTTGCTGCTGTTGTTAGGTGCAATCAAGTTGAGTACGACTCATAGCTACCCTGTGAACAAAAGATCTGAACCCTGTTCTATCCTGTGCCACTCCTGGTACACAAGAGCCCATTGCAACAGTCACATGTCAGTTTGCCAGGTCAAGGGTCTTGTCCTTTGCCAACCCTCCACCCTTTTAAGCATCATGTCATGTCCCTCTCCAAGGAATATCCCCTCTTAGCCTTGTTGTTGTTATGCATGTATCATCAAATTGGAACATCTAATGGGCTTTTAGAGTCAGTAAATCGCTCAGGGTAAGATTGGTCATCTTTCTCCTGGACAGCAGTTGGTGGACCAAAATGTCATGTCCTGGAGTTGGTCTTCCCTCTGAGCCACCAGAGCTCCCCTTTACTAGTTTGTGACAATCTTTTATTTGCTTACTTATCTGTTAGTGAGATTTTCATATTATAACTTAAAACATAGGAGGGCAGAATTATTTTTGGAGACATGACAAAACCAAATTTTCCTCACAATTTAATTTTTACCAGGTTCTTCATTAGAGGCCGTAACCACCTGTGAACTTTGTAAAGAGAAGTTGCAGCTTAACTTGGAGGATTTTGATATTCATGAACTACATAGAGCTCATGCAAATGAACAAGTTAGTATATTTTGCCTAATTTGGTAAGTGTCTGTTCTATGCTTAAAGGACAACTCTTGAAGAAAAGATAAATCATGGTCAGAAACCCTGCCTTTAAAATAATGCTTTTAACCTACTTCTGTTATTGCATTAGGTATTAATCCCTTTTCTTTGTTCCTTACATAATTTGTAGGTATAAGTCATATAACCTAGTCACAAGTTCTAAATTTTTAAAATAAATTCATCAAGTATTTTCTAAATGTAGTTGATACAAGCTTAAAAAAATAAAAGTGGCTCCAAAATAGGCAAACCAACATTATTTCCCAAGAGTTGTCTTGGTTGTGAATGCCTCTTAAATGTTGGAAGTAAACACCAAGTCCTGGATCCAATTCCTATTTCTGTACTCTTTTTATTTAGGGATAAGTTTTTTTAATATTTTCTCTTCCTGTCTGGCCCATGTTCTTCCTACTGTCCTGTTTCCTTGTACCCTCCCTATTCCTGCCTCGTACTTCATACAATGAAATCTTTTATTTGATGTTCCCATTGTCCCTTCAGTATTTGCATCACTGAGGCTAGCTTCTGTGCAACAAATAATGTAAGATTTCTTTATAATTATAGTCAGTTTTTATCTCAGTTGTCAGATAATTTGGGTGTATGTTTATAACTGTCCATCCCCAAATAATTGGTTAATTGCTAATGTTTTCCTTGAGGCTTTAAATTTTTTTGCCCCTGAAATCATTCATTTATTTATATAACCTAAATGAAGAACTCAGTATTTTCCCAGCTAAAAGAAGGGGAGGGAAATAATGTAGTAAAGAAAAGATTATAGGAGTTGCTTCTAGAGCTCATTTATATAAATGTAGTAGCATATTTATTCTAAAAAATTTGATAGCAAGAAAATAAATGAAATGACTAGAAAACCAACTTTACATGCGCTATTCAGTCTGCATTCTGTGTCTAGCTATTTTGTATACATAGAAAGATACATGTGACTCTGAACATTTTTTTTGCCTTTTAAATAGAAATAGTGTGTGCAGTTGATTTATAACTGGGCTATAGATGAACTCTATTGAAAGTGGTAGTCTCTCTTTAGAAAATACATAAGCATGAATTCTTTATGTAGTTTAAAAGATTCTTAAAGAATTGGAAGAAAAAACATAAAAAGGCAGAGTAATGAGAAAATTTTGGTGGGATGGGTAGGTTCAGAAGCGTCCTTTTCTTTTGTAGAGACTCAGTCATGTCTCCTCAATTTAGGCAGTTCTTTAGAATTCAGGCAGGAATGTTTTTTTGTTTTCCAGTTATTTTAATAACACATAATCTTAAATTATGAGTGTTAGGAAATAGGAATAGTCATGAAAACAATGATAGAGTTAATTAAGCTTCCTGTTTTAAACTTGTTTGCTTTATGTGAATCATGGATTCTAGTGGCCTGATATCAGTAACCTTTTCAGTGATTAATGTCGTTTATTTCCTCACTGTCCAGTGACTTAATCTTTCAAGGTGGCTTTCTAACATCATCTTAATATGATTTCCTTCTAAATTAAAACCAAGTGAAATATCTCTAAAAAAAACTTTTAAATAAATGAATTTGTCATATAGTTACTGTTCAGAATTTGATAAACAGTTGGTACTGAGAACTTAAAATTCTTCCTTCATATGAGTTAATTAACCCCTTAAAAACTGTAACAGGTATTTTAGATATTTTTTACTGTATTAAAATTTACAGGACAGATTAGATAACACTATTCATAATTTATATTCATCACTTCATATCTTCCAAATGCTTTTAAATCAGAGAATTCCATATTTTTTATTAAGTACAGATTGAGCATGTGAGATATGCAAGTTAGCCTATTACTTTTATGTATTTTAAATTAGCCATATTACACAAGAAACACTTGGGCTATAGTGTAAGTTTTAGTAGTGTGTAGCTGTAAGTACTGTTTTTAAGTAATTACATACAGCCATTTGTGAAATGAAATGTTATGATTTTTATAGAAAAAGCATGCATTCTACCACCAAGTGGTTTTCAAGCTGTGTGTTTGTATAAAGGAACATTATATGAGAATAAAGAAAGATATTCATGCCTACTTACTCAGCATTAGTAAAAATTTTATGAAATTTTCATTGTCATCTTTTTATTCTCCATTTTTATACTAGGGACCTCTTATCCCTAGTATCCTTTCCCAGGAACTGGATATGAGAACATTCCTTTAGTATATCAATATATTGTGGATGTTAATCTTGATGCTACTAATTTTTCTTTCTCCATATTTTTCCTTTTTCTTTCTCCTTCCCTGTCAAAGGCTGAATATGAGTTTATCAGCTCTGGTCTCTACCTAGTTGTTTTACTGCACTTGTGTGAACAAAGCTTTTCTGATATGATGGGAAATACAAATGAACCGAGCACGCGTGTCCGAGTAAGTAATACTGAAGTTGGGAGCGGGGAGGGTTTGGTAACAGTATGTGGTTTCATTGAAAAGCAGTATACCTCATACATTCATATTCTGTCTCCTTTGGAGATCTCTTCATTATTTCGTTAAAGATATTTTAAACTACATAAAAATTTGCTGGGGTTCCGAGGGACAGTACATCTTCCTTCTAACAGGTAGCTTTATTTTCACCTAAGATATTATAAAGACCAAAGTAATTTTCTAGTTCTTGAAATGAACTGGGAATTTATTTCAATGCTAATTAGGGTTAAAATTGGAAACTCCCAAGAAAGTGTTTCTTATAATTTTTTTAAACCTAGCCTTACTTATGACACCTGAAATTGAACTTAAAGAGTTTAAGAAATTTACTTCAGTTTATTTGCTATGTCCTATAAAACTTAACCAGTATACCATTTTTTAATTATCCATAATAAAACTACTTAAGGTGTTAAGTGTTAAGTATTTGGTGCTTACTGTGTATATTGTTGTTTGTGGTGATGTACTATCAAATTGTATCCGACCCATAGTTGACCCTCTAGTGGGTTTTCAGAGCCACTAATTGCATTTGAGGAGACTGCACATTTTCTCTTGTTCCACTATACCATCAATGAGTCTTAATAACCTACTTGGGCTGTGTGTTCAGTATAAGTAAATGAAGCTGTTTGTGCTCTAATGTAGTAGAGAAATGTTACAGTGTATTGCCTTGGCCATTTTTTGTAGTATACATTAGGTCTGTAAGTTATTTAATTGACAAAATAACTGCATGTTATTAAACTTTAGAAATATAAAATTAATCCTGTGAGCTGGTTAACAAATTCTTGTTAATAGGAGAATAACATTTTGAATACCACCCAAAATCGAACAAAGATCTCCTGACTTGAGCCCCTTCATTTAATTTATCCCATAAAATTCTTTTTAAACCTGTCTATTCAGAATGAATAAACCATATAAGTCTTTTGAAGTCATGCCTTTTTGAAAGCTATTAACAAGTTAATATTAAAATGATGGTTATTATTTTTCATTAACTACAGAATTAAATAGGAAACTTTCAGAGGTGTCTTGTTTAGGCAGATAAATGCTAATTCTTGGGTTGTATGAAAAAGGTGACCATTAAAGTTGAATTGATTTGGATCCATTTTGCAAGAGGTTTTTTTAAGTAGTATACAGCGACTCCCTGGATTATGAGATGATTCTTGCATGTTTAAGTCAAATTTGTATGTTAAGACGGAAGAGATGTTTATAGTTCTTAATTACCTTTGTTTTAATGCAAGAATAACTTGAAAGCTTTTCAGTAATTTAAAAACTTTAGTGATTGTGATGAAGAATTTGTTATAGTAGTTGATGAATTCACTTCAGGGTGAGAACAGATTTACATAACATTAAAGGACAAATGCACATATATAACTTGGGGATTTACTGTACTTAAGACAATATCATTGGATAAAATTATTATATCTGCTCCCAATTTTAAGAAACTGGTTTATATGATTAATAATGATAGTATTTAGAAATAATACCAGTAAGTGTAAAATTTTTGGTGTTGGGGGGAGATAGACCCTTTTTAAATGGCTTAAAATGGTATTTGATTTTTTAAAAAATAGAAATTAATCTCCTATACTGATTCTCTCTTTGGATCCATTTGCAACATTTAAACTACTCTATTTCTTTCTGCATTGTTTCTAGTTTATTAACCTTGCAAGAACTCTTCAGGCACATATGGAAGATCTCGAAAGTAGGTGGAATTCCCCCTCCCCAGACTTGTTGAATTTACTTTGCAAATCCACAAACCATAACAAGTATTTATGCCAAATTAGAATTTCATTTGTAGATTTGATAATACCAAAATGAAACCACACTTTTTAATTTGTTAGACACTTTGGCAGGGGCAGAAAAGAACATGCACTCCTTATTTAAGTTCTTTGGATAATAAATGAGCTTCCTTACACTTAGATTTTAAGAAAAAAGGAGGAAGAGTTCTTGTTGTGAGTCCATCAAAGAAGCCATAGAGAGTGTGAGGGACTTTTTCTTTAACTGTTTTTATATTTCTTGTTTCTATTTTGGACCTTTCCTAAGAGTTCAACTCCACTAGCAGTTCCAATATTTTATGGTCAGATTCTAGCATAATATTTTGATCTTTGACCTAGCATTCCCCACTGTTAGATTCCAGTTTATTTGGTGAAATATTTCAAAATACACATTCTTAATATGTCTTTAAACACTTGATATGTAGTTGTATAGCAGTTTTACCTTTAGGGAAACCTTGGCATCATTTAACGTAAGACTGAGAGATTTAGCCTTTATTAACAACCTTTTAATTCCCTGAATATTTTAAAACATTGGTGTCTTTTATTAAAGTAGTACTAGTTTTCATTTTCACAAAGATTTTCAGTTAAAATGAAATTATATATTTCGAGTTTGGAGGTTTTTGGTTTATTTTTTAGTAATTTATATTTTTCCAAGATGTGTTAATTCAGTGAAAATTTTCTTCACATTTTTTAGAGTTAGCTTAGTCATCTAAAATTTCATTTCCTTATAGTATCAGTAACATATTAAGAGAAAATGAAATAAACACCTAAAGTCATGTGTAAGAGAAATGTGGCTATAACTTGTTCATTCTTAAGTACTAGATTGTTAATATATTCTGAAGATAGGTTCCTACTAAATAGTATTCTCCCATGAGTTTAAATTCTCGCCTAAGCTTAAAATGTTCACTCAAAAGCAATTGTTTTAACGTTTCTCCCTATTATAGCATAAAATGAATTATAATGTATTTTTGTTCATCAGTTTTATATACACATTTGATATAATTTATTTAAAATGAATTTACTAATTCTACAAGATAAAAAGACTGAAATATGGAGATTTACATTTTATCTCTAAGCACTGTGTAATTGTTTTACCATATGTTGATTCCATTGCTGAGTGTTCTTAAAACCGTTCCTATTACTGTGAGAAGAGTATACATTACATCTTTCTGCCCTTGATTTTAGGGAAGATACAAATTAATTTTTTACTTTGGTGATTATTCATTTTCCTTCACATGTAGTTCATAGGACACGTAGTTTTGTGCTTACTCTATCCTTCCTAAAGACATTCTATGATGCTTTATGTTACCTCTAAGCTACTGGTGGCTTTAATTATCTCAGGTCAGAAATGTACAAGTGGTAAGTTTCTGACAGTGTGGAGAAATGAGTAGGAAATATTGACAAAGTTTTTACTGATTCCAATGATTTGTGCTTGGACTGTATCTATATATAAAGCGATTTTGATTTACCAGATAAGCGCCTTTCTTTTGGCATTATATGGACGTAGCTTGATGTAAGTTGCAAGAAAGCCCATAACCTATTATTTTATGTACATTTTTCCCCACATTCTCATCGGATGCATCAAACATGCAGCAGTAATAAGCCAGATTCTACTCAGGTGTGTGAGAGCACTTGCCTTAAGTCACTCTTTCTCAAACACATACATCATTAGCTTTTTTGAACACAAATGGATCACAAAAACTGTAGAAAATACTCGTGAACCACATTGTCATTTTTTATAAGAACTATGTAACATCACAAAAAGCTGTGGGGGTGGGGATTTTGTGGATGGGCATCACCTACAGTCAAACCACCCTAACCCTATCATGATAAAACGTACCATTTTGACCAAACACTATACTAAATTGATTTTAATTTTAAAATCATTGGTGTTCTGGCTTCATATTTAAATCTCCAGTTCTTATCCTTGGTAAAATCACTCTTGATCATCCTGTTTTCTTTTAACAGCTTCAGAGGATGATTCCGAAGAGGATGGAGACCATAACAGAACATTTGATATTGCCTAACTTAATATAAACAAATGGATGCTCTGTGAACAAGTGTTTAACAACATTGGCAATTAAGTATCAATAAATTTTGTGGGGAAATGCCTATTAAATACCTTTACTACACATCTGCATACAATGAATATATATGTACACTCCTATATACACGTGTGTACATATATATTCAAGTATTGCCGAATTAAAATTTTACCACTGGACCTTTTAACATGACCAGTAAATCTCATGTTTTATAAACTGATAATCAAAAGTATTTTTCTTTTAGGTGAGTGGGAAAGTGTTACTTTATCTGAACAGTGCCCACCTCAATCCTTACTGTGTTTTGATTATTCTAGTTATATTTATGAAAAACGGTTTGTGTTTTACTATTCTAGTGAAAAAAGTGGGGGGAAACATTTTCAAAATAAGCTGCCAGTGGCACCTATTATTTCCTATTGTTTTGCCTTAAATTGCAGCCTCATTTTGATAATCATTTGCTTCCAGTGTTTTTAAAAAGAAAAAAAAATTCATGGAGAGCTTTAAAGAATATTATGTTCCCAGATTCAATTTGAATTCTAAATTCTAGCAATAAAACCTGATTTTTAACCAAGTATATATAATATATAAATGATGGATGAGGTTTTTGTATTGATTTATAAAATGTAGGTTATATTTGATAACTTATAGTATGTAATAATTCCTTTGAGGAATATTACAGTAGAAATTGTCACCAGAATATTATTTGGGTTAAAAGAAAAGAATTATTGCAATCTAAAGGTAATGAAATATTTTTAAATCCCACATTCAAAGTTTAAAGCACTGGTTTTCAATGTGTGTGGCTTTTTTTTTTTTAAGTGTTGTCACTTCTTTGTAGATAAATATGGTATAAATAAACTGTTTGAATCTTGGTTGTGTCTTAACTATTCTTTGGTCAATCTAATGGTTTATTTGATATTTACTAGTATTCTTCATCAATGGATAACAGAAGATGACTGTTACACTTGTTTACCATACATAGGTCTGCACTATGGCCACAAATTTTTGCGTAAAGTACCAACTGACTGGTTTGCTATAGATGGGATTAAATTGGTGTTCAAAAAGAAAAAATGCTTTAAATCACATAGCTAAGAATTTCCCTAAACTTTCAAAATTTTTACAAAAGGGAACTCTCAGAGGTAAGCATTTGGACTGACAATATACCAAGGCAGGCTTTTCCATCAATTGCTGCACAGAAGGGGGGCAGTCTCTAAAAAACCCACAAGAGGGTCAATTATGAGCTGGTTCCTACTTGGCATGTAACACCACCACTTTATTTAAAAATATAAATGATTTGCTTTATTTTTGTGTTATCTTTGTTTTGCCTTTAAAGCAAAAATATAAAATTTAAAGATAGCAAATTCAGTATCTCTTCTGTGGATCATTAGAGATGCTTTTAAATTTTGCAGCATCTGTACTTTTATTAGAATTCAATAGGAAAATTTAAATGCCCTCAGCTACACTCACTAAAATTTTTAATTAGTTGGTAGAAAATAATCCTTTTTTAACATGTTTTATACTTATATAAAATGCTAAGTGACATCAAATATATTAGTGAATGCTTGAGCTTTATGCAGTTTTATTTTCCTGTATTATTCTTGTGAGCACTGGCAGTCTAGTGACAAGCAGTTGTGCTACAATCCCAAAGGCACATAACTCAAATCTGCCAGCTGTTCTGTGGGAGAAGGATGAGCAGTCTCTTCCCAGGTGACTGCCCATCCTTCTCTGGAGTGGCTGGTATATTTGAACTGCATACATTTTGCAGCACAATTCCTTACATTAGGCCACCAGCACTCTTAAAAGAGCAAATGTGTTTATCTGCATTTCTGTAATATAGGTAATATAATTAATTCCTGCTCTTTTGGGACTGCAAATCCATACTCTTATAAGTCTTTCTAGACACCTTATTTTCTCCAGAAAATAGGGTGTTGGAGAATCATCTGCAAACTAAACAACATGAAAGACATACAAATAGTAAAGTCAGACTTCCCAGAAACAAGACTAAGAAACCACTGAATATTGCTTTAACTAAATTGAGGTTGGAACTTTTAAAAAATGAGTCCATTCTTTGTGAAAGTATCCCATAGAATTCCCATAGCTGTAATCCTAAGAGCATATGGTAAATTTAAACTGTATTGTTGGTAGCAGCCAAGCACTTAGAATTGCTCCCTACTCGCAAAACAAAAGCAGTTCACTATATGGTAAGGAAGATAAGTCAAAAAGACTGATTTGATTTCTATCTCAAACTGAGCTTGCTTTCATTCAAGTGAAAAATTCTGCATATGGCAAAGAAAGCTTAAAACCAGTAAATTATATTAGAAATTCCATTTCTAAAATATTTTTGTTGATAATAAAATAAACTTAATTGTTGGTATAGCCAATCAAAATAATATTATAAAAAATAACCAATTTTTTAAATTTAATTTTTATATCAAATTCATAGAAATAAAATTAATCCTTAGAAATCGCTGACAGAATGACTTCATGTCTGAATTTGAGATGACCCAAGAATTTACTCAAACTGAACAGCATATACATTTTCTTCAGCAACTACCAAAACACAGTCATCGTTATAAGGTGACTCTGGTGCAGCTGAAAAAACAGTGATGAAACCAGAATCTGAATTTCTTTTGTACAGGAACCATATGATTGCTCCCAAAACAGTCAGAATTACAGTGCTAGCAATCACCAAAGCTGATATTAAAATGTGGTTATCTGAAAAGGAAAAGAGAACACAAAATGAGGGATCAGGCCATGCAAATTGGGAGCACACAGCAGTTTCATCATGAAAATACCACTTAAATGCTGAGAAACATCAGAATTGTGCATTAGAACCCAACAATTTCTTAAAATGGCTTGAGTTGGTAATTCAAATTAAGTTTTGTAATTCTGAGCTCCAGAAGATCCTAATGTAAAAATATGCATTAAATGTTCTTTAAGATTACAAGTTCAAACCTCTGTTCTTTTCAGACTAAGCATTTCACTGTAAGAGTGATAGTATGTATCCTTTTTAGTTTTTGTTTACTGAGGTAACACCATCTGAAGTTTTTTAAGTATGCCCAAGCTTGTCATTTAAAAATATTTGTACCCTTTTGTAAGGCATTTAGGAACATGTTTGCTTAAAAAATTTTAAGTTGACACATTTTTTGAAGGACTTTGTATTTGTGACTAGTAATAAAAGACCCAAAAGTTATTTGAAAATTGAAATTCAATTTTTTTCTACATAGATATACTTTTGTTCTATGGTTAAAAATATAATTGTACTTGTTTCAGCTGGTGTTTGTAAAAAGTAGTAATTGGTGAGAGAAATCTTAACAGTCATTTTGGGAGGCACGAGAGACCCAACCCCTGGGACTTTGGGAGGAATACGGGTGAACCGCACAGCGGAGTTCCTTGTTTTCCTCGATTACATAAAATTTTGTCACAGTTTGAGGTGCAAAGAAGTACTGTTGCTTGCCACAGAACAGATCCTGCTCAGTGCAGTGCCACTGCAGAGTAGATCAGCTCAATCTTCCAGAATTTATCACTGGTCCTGTCTTCTGCAATGCCAGTAGGTACTGCTTTTCACAGGTATTCCGGTGCTTACCATTTTCTTCACACTATGGTTCTTTTGTGTAAGGTACCATCAAGTCCATTACAACACACAGTAACGAGATGTGACAGGCCAGACCATGCCCCAAAAGATTTTCCAGGCTATACTCTACAGGTTACCAGGTCTTTTCTTGAGGGGAGCTACTAGATGCATTCACAGCTGAGCATTTAACCAGTGGACCACTAGGACTCCGAAGAGAACACAATTTTGTTTACATCTTAAAAAGAAAAGTACTTAAAAGTTTGCATGGTAAGGACTGCAGCCTTAAATATGGATTGAAACAACATCAAGAAAACAAAGATTATCACCAATTGGCAACACCATGTAGATGAGACTTCAGTTTGCTTAGCTGTACAATCAACACTCTTGGTACCAACAGCCAGGAAATTTAAAAGACTAATTGCACTGGGAAAATCTGTTGTCCGAGACCTCTCAAAAGCAATGAAGAGTAATGATGTCAGTCTGGAGACGAAGGTGTACCTGATCCTGGCCATGGTCTTTGTAAGCTGGCAAATGACTTAATGGATGACAGAAGCAGAAATGGTGCCTTTGAGCTGTGGTGCTGGAGAAGAGTATGGAATATATTTATCATGGCATGCTATCAGAATCAAACAAGTTCATCCCAGAGAGGGTGAGCTCCTTGGAGGCAAGAATTCTGAAGTTTTGTCTGATATACTTTGGACGTGTTGCAAGGTGGGACCATTCCTTGGAGAGAGCACAAGAGAGGAAGACCCTCAAGGATTGATGCAGTTAGTGGGAGTAATTGGGATAGGTGTGTGAGAGACGAAGATTGGCACAGGATAGAGCCAATGTTAGGGCTGTTGTACATGGGGTCGCTACTAATTGCAGGCGATTTGATGGCCACATTAACATTCCTGGCAATTTCATAGTGTCATCTAACATGAAACGGGAAGTCTACACCTTAAAATGGGAAAAGCTTTAATGAGCATTTCTATAGCAGCTGCAACAATGTGCTTAAAATTTTGAGATTGGCATCTTGAAACAGCTTTGATTTCATAACATTGCTTTCTTTAATGGCAGGTTTGAGCATATCTGAGATTGTGAGGATGACAGAGTAGGACAAAGTTCAGATCTGCTCATATGAGCACTGAATTATTGCCTCATTGGCACTTACGACTTTTTGATCTTTAACACCACAATTGTGTCAGTTTTACTTTTTTATTGTCCAACAATTCTTGGAAGCCAGAGTGCTCCTTAGAAGTAGTGATGGTGAGACATTATCCACAAGTGTCAGTCCTTAGAAAAGTAGAGGATCAGAATAACAGGCATAATAGTGAATGCACAATGTGCTTGGGAGAGTGGATACTGAGGATGAAACAGGATTTGGCAGGGTTTCTATTATGTATAGAATGGCTACAAGTCAAAATGGCTGGCTCAAAGGCACTATAATGAAACAATATTAAATATTTTAAGATGGTTTTGCAGTTCATAAATTTATTGCTCTATCTCCCACCCCCCAAGTAGATATGTACATAACTCAAGAATCTACAAGGTATGTAATGGGGAAATGCCAAGTCCTATGCACACTACTACTCATCCCTAATTGTCAGAAGTAGCCAATTTTAATAGTTCTGTTTTGCCTTACTGTTTCTAAACAAGCTTACAATTGCTTTTCTAGATTTTTATGGATGTTACATAGTGACTTTCTATAAAAAAAGAAAGATTTAACTGACAGCACAAACATTCCAGCTCGAATCCCCTAACATCACAGCAAGCTCCAAGTGGACAACACACATCTAAGGAGAATTTACTATATAGACAAAAATTAACATTTGACAACCCAATGAAAGACTTCAAAAGGCATTTCACAAAAGAAGGTAAGTGACATGTGAAAATAGGTTATCCTTAAAGAATGCAATTAAACTCAGATTATGATCATTAGGAAGATACATTACACTAGAGGGATGGTGGTAAATGGTGCTCACACTATACTGCTAGTACAAATGTAACTGTTTCAACAATTTAGAGAAATTGATAAAATTTCTAATATACAGAATAAACAGTAGTTTTTCTTAATACACCAAAGAAGTATCAGAGGCCCCAAAGATTTCTGAGAATATTCTTAAGAATGCTCAATTTCAGATAAGCCAAATGTCCTATTAACAAAAATGGAATTTGTCTTTTTCTGTGAAATATATATATATATATGTGTGTGTGTGTGTGTGTGTGTGTATACCATGGATATACACAAAAGGATGAAATTAAGCAACATAGAAAATCCAGGCCCCAATCAGTCCATCTCATTGAGGGTCTTCCTATCCTGTGCTGTCCCTCCTGCCTCCCAAGCATGACGTCCCTCTCCAAGAACTGGTCCCTCCTTGCAACATGTCCAAAGTATGTCAGACGAAGCTTCAGAATCCTTGCCTCCAAGGAACAGCCTGATTTCCCCCTCTCTAGGACAAACTTGTTCTTTCTCTTAGCAGTCCATGGTATGTTCAATACTCTTCTGCAACACTACAGCTCAAAGGCATCAGTTCTCTTATCCCTAGTCATTGTCCAGCTCTCTGATGCATAGCAAGTGATTGCAAAGACCATGGCATATATCAGGCACACCCTTAGTCTCCAGACTGACAGAGTTGCTCTTCAGTACTTTAAGAGAGGTCTCTTAACTGCAGATTTCCCCATCGCAATACATATTTTAATTTCGTGGCTGCTGGTGCCAAGAGTGTTGACTGGAGCCAAGCAAACTAAAACTGAATAATCTCAATCTCTTCACAATCCATCCTGATGCTGCCAATGGGCTCAGCAGTGAGGATCTCTGTTTTCTTGCTATTGCGCCTCAGTCCATATTGAAGGCTGAAATCTCATCTTCCACAACAAGTGTTTCAGATCCTCAGTTTCCGCAAGCAGATTTGTGTCCTCTCCATAACATACTGTTGAGCCTTCCTCCACTCCTGATGCCACATTTCTCTTCATAAAGAGAGCCCAGTCTCCCAGATAAGCTGTTCTGCATAAAGATTGAAAAGGTATGGAGATAGGATACAGCCCTGGCATACACCCTTCCCAATTTTGAACTAAGTAGTATTTCCTTGCTCTGTTGTGACGACTGACCAAGTATAGGTTTTGCCTTAGCATGATCAAGTGTTTTGGGATTCCCATTCTCAGAGTCAGCCAGTTGTGATCCAGACAGTCAAATGCCTTTGCATAATCAGTGAAACAGACATTCCTCTGGTACTCCCTGCTTTCAGCCAAGATCCAGTTAACATTAGCTACAATATTTCTAGAATTCTATTTGTATTAACTTCAGAAATGGAACTATAGTAAGAGAAGTCCTAGTGATTCCCCTCTGGTGAAAAATAGAATAAACATTCTTTAGGGAAATAACACTATAAAATGATGGAAATGTTATTTACCTTGATCTCCGTGATAGAAGCGTACTTAAAAATTCAAGCATACTCTTTTAAGATTTGTGTATGCCGAGTATTCCTCATACTATGAGGAAGTAATATCTAAAAGATACATATATATAATTGCTGGGAATGTAAAATGCTATAAACAGCCTCTCTAGAACATCATCTGTCAGTCTCAAAGTTTGTTGTTATGTGCCGTCGAGTGGTTTGTGACTCATAGGACACTATCTATGTACAACAGCCCTAAACCCTGCTCTATCCTGTGCCAATCGCATTGCCTCTGACACACCCATCCCAATTACTCCAGTCACTGAATCAATCCACCTCATAGAGGGTCTTCCCCTCCTGTGCTGTCCCTCTACTCTACCCAGCATGATGTCCCTCTCCAAAGACCTGTCTCTCCTTGCAACATGTCCAAAGTATGTCAGATGAAGCCCCAGAATCCTTGCCTCAAAGGAGTAGCCTGGTTTAACCCTCTCTAGGATGAATCTGCTTTCTTGGCAGTCCATGGTACATTCAATACTCTTCTCCAGCACCACAGCTCAAAGGCGTCAATTCTCCTTCTGTCCTCCCTAGTCATTGTCCAGCTCTCTGATGCATAACAAGTGATTGCAAAGACCATGGTCTGTATCAGGCGCACCTTCGTCTCCAAAGAGACACCGTTACTCTTGAGTACTTTAGAGAGGTCCCTAACAGCAGACTTTCCCATCGCAATACATTTTTTGATTTCCTGACTGCTGGTGCCAAGAGTGTTGACTGTGGAGCTGAGCAAACTGAAGCTGTGAACAATCTCAATCTCTTCGCCATCCATCCTGATGCTACCAGTTGGTCCAGTGGTGAGAATCTGTCTTCTTGACATTGAGCCTCAGTCCATACTGAAGGCTGCAGTCCTTGACCCTCATTTTTGGTCCTTCAGCATCTGAGCTAGAGAAATCTCATCAATCTCCTGTGTGATTCATAGCCTCCAAAAACTTCCTGCAGGGTCAGCTATGAGTTTATTTGAATAGGCAGCAATGCATGTGAAGTTTTTAAAAATTTTATTTAAAGGAATCTATTCTACAATAATTATGTGATTCACTACAACATTATTTCTAATACCAAATGTTACGGGGAAACTGTAGGGGTCTGAAACTAGTCTTTCAAGCATTATATCCACGGAATGGAAAAATATAATACATCCCTGATGGACCCCCTTCTTGATTTTTAACCATGTAGTGTTTCTTTGCTCTGTCTAACGACTGCCTCTTGGTCAAAGTATAGGTTTCGCATTAGCACAATGAAATGTTCTGGGATTCCCATTCTTCTCAGAGTCAGCCACAGCTGCTTGTGATCCACACAGTCAAAAGCCTTTGCATAGTCAATGAAGCACAGATAAGCATTCTGGTATTCTCTGCTTTCTGCCAAGATCCATCTAACATTAGCTATAATATCCCTAGTACCATGACCTAAATCCAGCCTACACATCTGGCAGTTCTCTGTGGACATATTGTTCCAAACATGTTTGGAATGGAATCTTGCTTGCATGTGATACTAATGATACTGTTGAGTAATTTCCGCCCTCTGTTGGGTCACCTTTCTTTGAAATGGGATCAAATACCAATCTGTTCCAGTCAGTCGGCCAGCTGGCTGGCCTCCAGATTTCTTGGCACAACTTAGCACATCCAGGGCAATGTCTGTTTGTTGAAATATGTCAATTGGTTTGCCGTCAACTCCTGGAGGCTTGTTTTTTGCCAGTTCCTTCAGAGCAATTTGAACTTCCTCCCTCATCACCACAGGCTCTTGCTCTTATATTATGTCATGAAATTCTTCTGTGTCAGCCAATTCCTTCTGATGCAGTGACTCTGTGTACTCCTTCCATCTTCTCTTGATACATCCTGGATCATTTAACATTCTACCCAAAGTATCCTTAAGTATTGCCACCCGTGGCTTGAATTTGTTTTTCAACTCTTTCAGCTTAAGAAACGCTGAGCGAGTTCGGCCCTTTTGATTTTCTGACTCCAGCTCTCTCACATTTCATTATAGTACCTTGCTTTGTTGTCCCGGGCTGCCTTTTGAAATCTTCTGTTCATCTTTTTTATTTCTTCCTTTAGCTTTGGCTTCTCGGCGCTCTAATGCAATACTCAGAGTCTCATCTGACATCCATCTTGGTTTTTTCTTCTTCTTTAGCCTTTGTAATGATCTTTTACATTCTTCATGGGACGATTTTCTTGATATTCTCCAAGAGCTCATTTGGTCTATGCTCATTGGTGCTCAAGGCCTCAAGCCTGTTCCTGAGATTGTTTTGAAATTCGAGTTGGACACACTTAAGGTCAAATTTTGGTTCCCGTGGACTTGATTTAATTTTCCTCAACTTCAGCTTGAACTTGCATATAAGTAGTTGGTGGTATTTGCAGTGAATAAATCATTGAATATGCAAAACTCTATCATTCTGTCTCCAGCCTCATTTCTCTCACCGAGCCTCTATCTACCAGCTACTGATTCTCCTTCCCTGTTCCCAACTTTTGCATTCCAGTCACCCATTATTATCAGTGCATTTTGATTGCATGTTTGAACAATTTCTGACTGCAAAATTTGGTAGAAATCTTCCATTTCCTCCTCTTTGGCTATAGTTGTTGGTGCATATATTTGATTGATAGTGGTATTCACTGGACTTCCTTGTATGTGTATGGATATTATCCTGTCACTCACCATATTTTATTTCAGATCATCCAAGATGCTGGGCTGTATGAGGAGGAATGTGGCATCAGTATTGGTGGAAGAGCCGTGCGTTAAGCAGATGACACAAACCTGCTTGCTGAAACTGAGGAGGACCTGAAGTGCTTCTTGCAGAAGGTCAAGGACTGCAGCCTCCTATATGGATTGAAGCTCAACATCAAGGAAACAAGAGATTCTCACCACTGGGCCAATTGGCAGCATCAGTATGGATCGTGAAGAGACTGAGATAGTTAACA